CTCTGTGTACCACAGCTCCTGCACATGGCTTCTCAATAGGCAAATGATAAGCGAATTTCAGATAATTCAGAGACACAGCTAGATTCAGAGCTATCTTTAAAAGTGCCAAAGAAATATGTAATTATGTTCAACAAAGCCCGTGCTTTAAGTGTTATTTCATTTATGTGTGTGTGTGTGGTGTGCTCTCACACACTGACTGCTGGTGGATTTGTACTGCTGGAGAGAGGCCATCTTTGGGTGGACAGTGCCGTACACTGTGGACTAGGCCTTACACGCCAATGTATGTGTATGTGTGTGTGTATGATTGACAATCCACATAAAGTGGCACTTAAATATCTCATTTCTCAGAGCACAGTGCACTAATGAAGGCTTCTCACAAAGTGGTGCACACTGTCACACTGCTGTTATTATTAGATGCCACTGAGTCGACTACTGCAGTCACTGTGTCAGTCCATCTTGTTGAGAGTGTTCTCCAGCTTTCCAAGTGTGGTGTCTTTTCCCAAGGATTGGCCCCACCTGATGGCATGACCCAACTATGTGAAATGAAGTTCCACCATCCTTAATCTCTGAGAAATCATTCTTATAACACCCTGATATACACAGGGTGTTACACTGACTTGAGTGGTGGATTTGTTGTTTGGTCTCTCGGGTATAATTGTATCACTAACACGCCATCACACATTTTCCAAAACTCTTTGTTACAATGTCCCAGAAAGAGCTAAAGGGAAAGCGGGCAGATGGATAGTTGACCTTTTAAGTTCCTGGATTTGTGCCAGGAGGAGCTGCCCTGCGAAGCCACCAGTTATTAGGATGCGGAATCTTTTACTGTATAATGCCCTCCCTCACCCCAGAAGCCTTGTCAGAAGCATGGACCCAGGGTTGAGGTTGAGGCGGAAGAAGGTTTACAAGCGAGTGGCCTGAAATTAAGTGGAGTCAATATATGATTTCTCACCTTTTAGACGATAACTGCTTTGCTGCCACCTGAGTAGCCAAAGAAAAATTTTGGTAACTATCAAGCTTGAAATAATTTAATCAGAAATGTAAATCAGTTATATGCCCCAATTATTAAAATGTTGATGGGGTTGGCAATGGGATTATTTCTTTTGGGGAGGGGAGCTGACAGCTGCTGTTCTAGATATAAGATCATGATCCTGTTTCAGCAATGCAGACCTCACTGTCCCCTGCCCAGCAGCTGCAGTGGTCAATGAGCCCCGCCAGGAATGAGAGCTGTGGACAGCACACCTCCAGAGGCGGGCAAGAGAGTCCTAGCATAGTCGAGGGTGCGCGTCCCTGCATGTATTTATGTTTGGATAATTTATTTAAATAATGTCGCTAGCACATGCTTTATAGCTGCGTTCATTTTGCAACACAGATTCCAGCATATCTTGCAGACTATGCAATTCATTTGGAAAATGTAATTTCCATCTCTGCATACTAATCGATTTCTTCACAAACACCTGCTATCAGTTATGATAATAAAAATGCCACTCTGAATTGAAAAAGGGCCAAGTGGAGCTTCCTAAGGAAATGACTTAAGTGTCTTTGAATGCTACTAAATGTTCTAATGTGCTCGTGTAGTGCCAACACTTCTCCCATCATTTGCATTTTCCGTCATTTTGCCCTGTTACACTCTCCTGCTCTCAGATAATGTCTCATAACTGTTTCCTTATGAGTTAGATGGTTAGCTGAGCCGTGAGGACGTGGTATCTTGCCATGTAGCCAAGACCTGAAGATTAAAAGCACTAGCTCCCACATCTACCCAGAGTCATTTCTGCTGTTACAAGGAAGTTCCTAAAACTGATAATTGGTAACTTAGTTTTCCACACACATAAAGAAAATGTCCCTTTATTTATTCCCTTTTGCCTCCAGTTTGTTCCATGCGCCATTGCCAAACTAATCTTCTTAAATCATCAATTTCATCACGCCCTTCCATTGCCCAAGAACGTTCAGTGATTTTCAACTGGCCCCTCCATTGAACCAAACTCTACAGCCTCCATGTGTTCGTATCACCCCACTTTAGGCTTCTCTTCCTTCCACCCCCAAATGTTCCCTCTTCCATTCTCACCCCTGAGTTTTTGTTGATGCTCTTACCTCTTTACCTATTGAAGCTATTTGGGATCTCCCAGGAAGTTCTGGTGACCTCGTGAGCAAGGAGCCGCCCCAGCAGCCCAAAAACAGTTGGTTTGAACCCACCAGCTGCTGCACGGGGCAAAGATAAAGTCTCCTCCTGTGTGATTTACGGCCTCTGAAAACCTGCTGGCGGGCTAGCTGTGAGCCCTTTCCGGTTCAGTGCCATTGAGAGAGTTGAATATCCCAATCTGCTTTTTTTTTCTTGTCTAAATTCTGCAGGAGTTTGGGTGGCACAGTGATCTAAGCTCTCAGCTTCTAACCACAGAATCACAGAGAATCACGTTTGAGTCCACCAACTGCTCCATAGAAAAAGAATGTGGCAGTTTGTGTCCGTAAAGAACCACACTTTTGCAAGCATAACCGGGCAGATCCCTGTCCTAGAGGCTCACGATGGGGTCCTAATGAGCTGGAATCTACCTGCTGGCAGCAGGCTTGGCTTTCTGTATTTTCTCTGGCCTCTTTTAGCATGCATTCCTTTGTCACAGACCTTGACATTAAGTCACTCGATTATTTACTCATCCGACTCAGTGATGAAGATAGGCTAGGCATCTAGATGTGTGTTGATATCCTCTGTCCCTCTGACTGGGCTACTCTCCTTTCACTTCTATCCTCACAGTTAGATTGTAAGCTCCTTCAAGAAGAGCCATCGTCTCTCTCCTCTCCGTGATCCCACATGCCCAGGCAGGCCTGGGCACAGAGTCAGTGTACTGTAAACGCTTGTTGACTAATTGATCCCTGATGGTTTGAGGTAGGGAATTTGCTGGATAATTGCATGTTCTGTTTGATTAGTATTTTAGTGTGTACTGTACATAGATTATCATTTAACAAGGCAGAATACCATAAAACGCTCAACTGTAAAACTATTATTAGCATAATTTGGTGTTTGATATTTGAGGAGAGTGTTCGCTGAAGTCTCAGGACAGCTCATGGAAAATCTGCCATCACTTACTGTAATAATCAGTGGGCGAATATCCAGGGCACTTGCCTAGGGCTCCTGGATGATGGGACTGGAGGTGCAGAAACCAGCGGGTACTGTGAGCTTTCCATGTGACACATACCACAGTGAGTCCTTACACTCTGGAAATTATAAACCCTCTGTCATCAAGTCATTTCTGACTTATAAGGACCCTCCCTCAAATACCAAGGCTGTGAATCTTTTCAGGAGGAAACTGCCTATCTTTCTCCTGTGGAGCAACTGGTGGATTTGAACCAGTGGCTTTTCAGGTTAACAACCATACAGATTGTGCTCTCCACCCTCAGGGCTCCAGAAGCTACATCTTGAAAATGTTGATCATAACAACTTTTATTTTTATCTTGTCTTTAAAGTACAGAAGGAACTGTCTCGTGGGAGTGGAAAAATGTGTGGTAAATGGGTCGGAGAGGAGAGGGAGAAGGTGGAGCCTGGTATTGGACAGTCTGATTCTAACAGCTCAGTAAGAGAGTGATTGAGAACAGACCTTGGAGCTGGGTCTGAGCCCAGCTGGTGGCATAAATGCTTTGTAAAAAACTACTGACATGTAGAACCCAGCCAAAGACACCTGGAAATCTATCTCTAAGTAGATGACAACCGCAAATTCTATGGCTCAGTTATCGTTTCAACACATAAGTTCGTTGTGCGTCCATATGCACTCAGCAGCCACAAGTTGGGTTTCTTGGTTTGGTTTGTGCTGCTTCCTCTGTGGGCATGGTCACGTGCCCCACCTGTAAAGACAGAGATGGCAGTAACACTTTCTTGATGGGCAGATTGGGGATGTTCCTTCAAAGTGCTTGAACAATATCTGCTTCATGGTCCTCGGCAGCTGCTGTTATTGTTGGAGATGAAAACGAAGAAGGAAGGTGGGAGTCAGGGGAGTGGGCTCACCTCCTCCTCTGGTTTTAGGCCCTTCCTCCTCCTTGATTGTTCAGTTCCAGCTGCTTCTGAGTTTTTGAAATGTGTAAGGCCCCAAATTAACTGCCTTGGCTTCTCTCCATAAGCTTGAGAGAGAAACATCAAGATCTACATGTGCAGAGAGCATATCCGGTTATGGAAAAGAGTATTCGAGCAACTGCCCAGCCTTGTGGGGTGGAAGGTTTTAATCTCTTGGTGAAACAGGAGGAAATAGGTTAAAGAAAGTGATGTGTGCAGTTTGTGCCAGCTGTGGAGAGAAATGTTGTACACGATGGTTCCCTGGGATGGTGCTGTAGCACTTCCACCTATGAAGTCCTGATTATTGGAGCTCGGGGACCTTGTAGACGGGAAGAGTGTGTTGGGTGGATAGAACCACTGTCTCAGGTCATGAGTATCCTTTTCACCTACAGCGTGTATTGATTCCAGGAAGATGTCAGGGCTTGGGTGAAAGGTCATGAGCAAGAAAGAACTGGGAAGGAATCAATCTTTGTGCCCTCAAGAGATAATGATTCATCAGCCAGCACAAGTGAAGGAGATCAAGATTCCCAAAGAAATGATGGATACCAGCTTGAAAATAGTGATCCCTAGAGTCACTGACTTCCATTTTCTTACTGAGGCATCACCAGTAAAGAGTAGTAGTGGAAAACACCGTAATATGGGGGTGGGGAGGGAAAGACTTGGGTTGTGAGGCCTGTTTTCCCACACCATTTGCCATCAAGGTTGACTCCAAGTCATGGTTACCCACATTTGTCAATAGAAACCACATTCTGAGGATTTTGGTGGATGGTTTGCTGTAGTAGGTGGGTTGTCTTCCAGGGCTTTCCTCCAAGGTGGTGGGCTAAAACCTCAAACCTTACAATCTCAACCAGGTGTGTGAACCCTTTGCACCCCCGGGTGGTCCTTTTCCCACAGAAGATCCTTGATTCTAGCCCCCTTGGTTGGCAGAAGGTGACTGACTTGATCCTTTCTGTCTGTCCCTCAGCCTTGGCTGCCCAGGCCTATGCCCTTAAAGAGGAGAATGACAGCCTCCGCTGGCAGCTGGATGCCTACAGGAATGAAGTGGAGCTGCTCAAACAAGAAAAAGAGCAGCTTTTCCGAACAGAAGAGAACCTCACCAAGGACCAGCAGCTGCAGTTTCTGCAGCAAACCATGCAAGGCATGCAGCAGGTACCCAAGCTCGGGCAGTCGCCGAGAAAGAGTGTATGTGTGTGTGTGTGTGGGGGGGCATTATGTATATGTCTGTGTACATGTATGTGTCCGTGTGTACAGACAGGGCACCTATCAACAGAGCAGTGCATGTGGCTGTGATGTTGAGCAGGGGCCCTGGAGCCCCAGTGGTCAAGCATATGGTGTTAATTGGGAGGTCAGTGGTTCATGCCCACCAGTTCCACTCTGCAGATGTGACAGTCAGCTATTTTAAAGATTTAAAGCCTTGGAAGATCTGTGAGGCAGCTCTACTCTGTCATAGAAGGTCATCATGAAATGGAATCAATTAAATGGCAAGAAGTTTGTGCTCCTTTTCTTACAATGATGAGCAAGCTTCAGTGCAGCTTCCAGAACGTCATCTCATGGGAAGAAAGACCTGGCATCTCCTTCAGGCAGTGACGATCTGTGGATCGCCATAGTTTTGATCTGTACCTGAATGGGGAGGGCATAGCAATGGGCAGTATTTTGTTCATTGTGCATGTGGTGGTGACAAATTAGGGGTCACCTTAACGGCAGGTAACCACAAAGCAGGGTCCAGTGTCGGTGCATTTTCTGGTAGAATAACAATAACATGCCAAAAATTATCACACATGAGTCTTTTCTTCTCTTTTCATTTTTTTTTCCTTTGACTGCTGCTCTGATTTCACAAATCCAAGTAATATATTTTGAAAAATTATTACTTTTAATGAGACAAAGTATAGGCAGGATGACATGAAATTAAACTCTATAGTGGGTAAGGGGTTTGGATTGACTTTAGGTTTTGTGGTGATGTTTGTTTGGTGGATTTTTGTGGGTTGGTTTTTGGGGTGGTGTTTTGCCCCAACATTAATTGTAGCTGCTCTCAAAGCACAAAACCCAATTCTAAAAAATGGTTTAATGATTAGCAGAAGGGAAAAACAATTAAGAGGAACAAAAATGACCAAAACACAGAAATTATTTGTTAAAGTATCTCCTGTCATTTTAAAGCCAAGTTTGAGTCTCGCCTTTGAAACCTAAATGAGTGACATGCACAGAGTGTGTTAGACAAATAGAGGTCAAAGTAGCCAGGAAATGTCATTACAGTCTATGTTCCTGTCTCTGCACCTGGGAATCCTGAAAATCACTGCAACAGCTGCTGTGTGAGGCCCCTGGGTTGACCATACGCCCCAACATCAGGAAACCTTCCCCAAAGGCTGTGATGTCACACCCTGCCTACAAGCCTCCACACCACATCACACAAAAGGCCTCCTCTCTTTACCTCTGTAAAGTCGCCCACCTAATCAACTCCTATTTCATGCCATACTCCATGTGTTAATAGAACTTCACTCCATAGTGTTTCCTGTGACTGATATTTCTTCTCGTGATCTTTCTTCTGAGCTACCTCCAAGTGGACTCAGACCCCCAACTTTGAAGTTAGCAATCAAACATAAACTTTGCACCAAGGAGTTCCTGTGAATTAGATAGGCTCACAAGTACATAAAAATTTTCTACACTGTTGATTGTGCTCTAAAGGAAGTTGTGGAAGGTAAAGGTGGTCGTGACGTAATACCCACAAGGAGATGTCAGCCCAAGTGCAAAGAGAAAGGCCTGCTGGCAGCCCCCTGAACAACAGCGTGCAAAGAACCACCTGGGTTATGTCCTCTTCAAGGAGGGAGTCATTCTTAGAGTTTCCTAAACATTCCCAGACTCTCCCTTGTCCTTAGAAAATTTAATGTTATTCTTAAAACTCTGTGTACTTTAAGAGTCATATTTTCCACCTTGATAATGTCACTTTTAAAAAAAATACTACAGCTTGCATATGAGTATGATGGCCATGAATCCTCCTGAATTTACTATCTTTTGTCAGTCTGCCTGGTTCACAAATTAGAAAAATCAGTTTCATTCAAAGGTCAGTGAAGGACACAATAACTTCTATAAGTCATCCTTTTAACAGTTTATTTGGGCTTGGGGAGTTACTTCTGTAACATACACACACAAAGAAAGAGCTTTGTTGGCCTTAGGACTAGCAGAACATTTTAGTGTTACCTTCACGTTTAGGGAAAATGTTTCTGCCGCCCCCCCCCCCTCCTTTTCTTTCAGTTGCTTTAGGATACCACCACTGACAGCAGTTTCTACGTGTGCTCATAAAGTAAATGTTACAGACTGGGTTTCTAAAACAGAAACCCCTTAAGCGACTTGGTCTGGATATTCCTGAGCTTACCTACACTGCACGTGAGTCACAGTTTACCGTTAGAGATGTCACATAGAAGGGAATAAAAGCATATATCCATGGCATCAGGTAGTGTTTGTCAGATCGTAGCTGGTAGTGAAGTTAACCTGCTTCAGAAACAGTGAGGTGGTTAACTCTTGTGTTTTCATGCACCCAGGAAGAAGATCCATATTCCAAACTCTTATTTATCTTCAGATTTCCATAGCAGACTTTTTTGTTAGATGTTTACAGGTTAAATGAATGTGCAATAATATGCACTTTTGTTTACAATGTCCAGTTCTCTGACTGTTGGCAAAAGCATATCACTAGGTGTGTAACTACCACTCCTATGATCAATCAGTAGGATATCAGACAATCCTACCCCCAGCAGCCATGTATTTGTTTTCTACCATTTCTAGTTTGTCCTTTCCTGAATGCCATGATCAGACACTATACAGTCTTTCGATTCTTGCTTCTTTCACACAGCATAAAGAGGTCCACCACATGGTAGGTGCCAACAGTTCTTCCCTTTTTATGCTGAGTAGTCCATTGCAAGTCACACCAGAGGCTGCTCACCTCATCACCGATTAAAGGATATATGGGTGATTTGCAGTTTAAAATGGTTATTAGTAAACTTGCTATGAACATGCACTCATAGGTTTTTGGTCTGGACACTTCCTTCTTTTCCTGTCTCTGATAAATCCTTAAGAAGAGCTTTGCTAGATCATGTGTTGGTTTTACCTGTATGAGAAACAGCCCAGTTGCTCCCAAGGTGTCTGCACCATTTGGCATTTTCACAACGCAGGGTAGCAGTGCCAGGTGTTCCATGTTGTGCCTTCCTCAGTCAGCACTTGGCATAGTCCTCTTGTTTTCATTTGTTTTGCTTTATTTAGACACTCTAGTAGATCTATAGTGGCATCTCATATGGCTTGAACTATACTGAAATTTAAACAGCACTTTAAATTCACCATTGTGAGTATGGGTGAATATTTCATAGTTTAATATAAGCAATTTAAAAATCAGGACTATTCCTTCAAGCCTGTGTAAATAGTATTCTGTCAGGTCTGATAAGTATTCAGATTGCTGATCATGTTAATCATAAAATTGCGTGTGACTAATGTTTATGTCAGAATGTTCCCCCATAGTATTTTAACTCTGTGCCTTTAATAGTGCTGGAAATTCTGCTCTGCAGAATGACCTACCGGCTGTGCAGCACAGTGGCTCTCCAACACTGTTGACCTGCTGTTCTTCAGAACTGGGGTAGTCGGCCCTTTTGATGGCTTTCAGCGAGGGAAGATCAGAAACAAATAGGGAAAAGAGTTTATTGTGGTTAGCACCATTCCAGAAAGAAAATGGCAACTGTTTATCTCCTTATGTCCAAAGTAGAGCACATGTGGCCTTTCAAGTAGATATTGATGAATAAATCAATAGGGATTTTTCTATACGTGCATGTGTTTATGTGTATCTCATAACTTTTGTCAATGTAGCATTTGTATATGGGTACACAATTTAGTAGCATAAAAGAGATTGTTTTTAATCTTTCACTAAGTATATCTGACCACTTAAGCATATCTTTTGTTAACTTATGTAAACTTATTTGATTGCTTAGCACTTTTTCCATTTTCTTTTTATTTTATATTGATTTGAATACAAAATTTATATACATATACATGGTGTATCGTTCACTTACATTGCGTTTCACACATTCCTACATTCACACTGTGTTTCAAACAATTTTATTTTATATTGATTTGAATACAAAATTTATATACATATACATGGTGTATCGTTCACTTACATTGTGTTTCACACATTCCTACATTCACACTGTGTTTCAAACAATCACCAAGATACATTGTGTTTTATAAAATTAATCACAATTGGTGGATGCCTACTATTACCCTGTCTTTTCAGGGATCCCCATTGGATCTTTCCTGATTCCTTCACACTCTACTCACCACACTCTGCTGTCCAAGTGATTTCCTCCCTTCTCTACCTGCTGGACCCTCACCACACCCTTCTCTTTTAGAATATTATTCACATTTTACTAGTTATCCTTCTATTTTTATAATAGTGGTCTTATGCAGTATTTATCCTTATAAGACTGAGTTCTTTTTTACAATTTTATTTTATGTAATGAATGTTTACAGAGATTTTGGATTTGCATTCATTCATTCTTGCCTTTTCTCCCTGGCCTCTGCCTTTGAAAAGTAAAAGAAAAATTCCTTCTTTGTTATATAATTCCCCACCCCCACCCCCCACCCCGAGTACACTCCACTATGCAACCTTCATTCTGGATTCTTGTCATAACCATAATACCCAATCATATACCGCTTTTAAACTGTTCTCTGCCTCACCTGTTTCAATGCAGTATACATAATTTATCCAATTTTTCCAAGATTGAGTACTTTTTAAGCACTTGTGATGTTAGCCTAAAAGTTGGCTTTCTTTTAGTAATTACAGTTAGCCCCCTCTGGTCTCCAACTACCTTAACTACAGAAGACATGGTCTTGCAAATCAGCATGGTCTTGTCAATCATCAACAGCTATGGGACTAGGATAAGAAAAAGAGTGCTTCTTATACTAAGTAGCAAGACTTGTGGCAGCCAGACTTGAGGAAGACTGGAGTAAGATCCTGGTGACAGCAAGACCCTGGTGATGGTTGTAGATAGACTGTAGTGTTGCTGTGGTGAAACTGTGGCAATGTGTGGCCTGAGGCTTCTTGCATTTGTGCTGGCCACAGTTAAAGGTTACTGTTCTTACCAGATAATTAAGGAGAAGCTGACTTATGACTA